GTTGTTGTTGGTGTGGTTGTTGTTGTTTTTGTCGATGTTGTTTGTTGATATTTGTTGTTGATGTTTGTTGTTGATGTTTGTTGTTGTTGCGGTTGTTGTGGTTTTGTTGATGTTATTTGTTGTTGAAGTTGATGTTGTTTTTTGTTGTTGTTGTTGTTGTTAATGTTTTTGTTGGGATTGTTTTTGTTGATGTTGATGTTGGGGTTGTTGTTGTTTGTTGTCGATTTTGTTTGTTGAAGTTGTTGTTGAGGTGGTTGTTTTTTGTTGCGATTGTTGTTGTTGTTGTCATCATCATCATCGTCCTCACCACTACGACCATCACTCAGAGAGCCTCAGTAACAAGCAGGGCATCCTACACCTCAATATTCGGAACTCAACAGAAGTTCACCAGAACTGCAATATACAAGGTTATTATCATAATCATCATCATCATTATTATTATTATTAAACGACGACGATGATGATGATGATGATGACGACCGACGATCGATTCCCAATAATCGACACCAAACGAATACTCGCCGACTCGACTCGACAACCGATCGAGAATACTCACCGACCCATCCCTGATTATTTAGACCCGCATCTGCGTGTTGAAGAAACTCAAACCACCGATCATCGTGAGGCAGAATGTCTTGGAAGACATCAAGGATGTTAGTTCTGGCCGGGATGATGATGATGATGATGATTGTTATTATTATTATTATTATTATTATTATTTTATATTTCATTTATTTAATTAATTTAATTCTAATATATAATTAATAATTTACGATGGATTCCATTTGGATTTTGTTTTTCGGTAAATAAAAGAATGTTCCCATTATTATTATTATTATTATTATTATTATTATTATTATTATTATTATTATTATTATTATTATTATTATTACTACTATTACTACTACTACTACTACTACTACTACTACTACTACTACTACTACTACTACTACTACTACTACTACTACTACTACTACTACTACTACTACTACTACTACTACTACTACTACTACTACTACTACTACTACTACTATTACTACTACTACTACTATTATTATTATTATTGTTGTTGTTGTTGTTGTTGTTGTTATTATTATTATTATTGTTTGTTGGTTTGTTGGTTTGTTTGTTTGTTTGTTTGATTGTTTGTTTGTTTGCCTGACCATACAAGCCCATAATGAAGGTGTTTTGAAATAAATTAATCAATTAATTAACAAATAATTAAATATTGAATATAATAAACAAAAACTTGGCGAAATAAATGAAAAAGAATCAAAAAGTTTTTTTTTTTAAATCATCCTCTGACATGCGACATCTGACATGACATGTTGTGAAATTTGTCGTCGTCATCATCAGCATCTTCATCTTCTTCTTCTTCCTCATCATCATCTTCATCTTCCTCTTCTTTATCATCATCATCTTCATCTTCTTCTTCTTCTTCTTCTTCTTCTTCTTCTGTTTCTTCTTCTGTTTCTTCTTCTTTTTATTCATCCTTTCATCCTTATCACCAACGTCTTCATCATCATCTTCATCCTCTTCTTCTTCATCATCATCATCATCTTCCTTTTTTTTCTTCTTCTTCATCCTTACATTCTTGTCACCATTATCATCTTCTTCTCCTTTGTCTTCTTCATCGACATCTTCTTCGTCTCTTCATCATCTTCAACTTCTTTTTCATCATCATCAT